ATTTGTGAAGCCTCCTGGGCGCCTCTTGGTTGTCTCTTGGGGCCTCTCTGAGGATGTGGCGGTGGTGGGTTGAAGTGGTGGTGGTGGTGGTGGTGGCAGTGGTGGTGGAGGTGGTGGTGGTGGTGGTAGTGGGGTGGTTGGTGGTGGTTGTGGTGGTGGTTGTGGTGGAGGTGGTGGAGAAGGTGGTGTGGTGGCGTGTGGTGGTGGTGGTCGTTGTGGTGGTGGGTTGTGGTGGTGATGTTGGTGGCGGTGGTGGTGTGGTGGTTAGACCTGGTGATTGTGGTGGTGGTAGTGGTTGTGGCGCGAGGTAGGTTGAGGTGGTGGTAGTGGTGGTGGCGGTGGTGGTGGTTGTTCTGGTGGTTGTGGTGGTGTGGTGTTTTGTTGTGGTGGTTGTGGTGCTGGGTGCTGGTGGTGGTGGTGGGTTGTGGTGGTGGTAGTGGTGGCGCTTGTGGTGGTCGTGGATGTGGTGTGGTGGTTTGTTGTTGTGGTGTTGGTTGTGGTGGTGGTCGTGGTGGTGGTGGGATGTGGTGGTGGTCGTGGTGGTGGGTTGTGGTGGTGGAGGTAGTGGTGTGGTGGCAGTTGTGGTGGTGGTGGTAGTTGTGGTGGTGAGTTGTGGTTGTGGTAGTGATGGTGGCGGTGGTGGTGTAGTTGTGTGTGGTTGTGGCTGTGGTTGTGGTGGTGGTAGTGGTTGTGGCGGGAGGTAGGTTGTGGTGGTAGTAGTGGTGATGGTGGTTGTGGTTGTGGTGGTGGTGGTGGTGGTGTGGTGTTTTGTTGTGGTGGTTGAAGTGGTGGTAGTGTGGTGGTGGTGGTGGTGCTGGTGGTGGTGGTGTGGTGGTTTGTGGCGGTGGTGGTGGTGGGTTGTGGTGGTAGTGGTGGTGGTGGTGGTCGTGGTTGTGGTGTGGTGGTTTCTTGTGGTGGTGGTGGTTGTGGTGGTGGTGGGATGTGGTGGTGGTCGTGGTGGTGGGTTGTGGTGGTGGTGGTTTGTGGTGGTGGTGGTGGGGTGGTTGTGTGGTGGTGTGGTTGTGGTGGACGACGTGTGGTGGTTTGTGGTTTCGGTGGTTTGTGGTGGTGATAGTGGTGGTGGTAGTGGTGCGGTGGTGGTGGTGGTGGTGAATTGTGGTTGTGGAGGTAGGCGTGGTGGGACGTGCTGGTGTTGGTGGTGGTGGGTGGTTGTGGTGGTGGTAGTGGTGGCGGTGGTGGTGGTTTGTGGTGGTTGTGAGTGGTTTGTGGGTTTTGGTGGTGATGTGGTGGCGGTGGCAGTGGTGGCGAGGTGATTTGTGGTGGTAGAGGTAGTGGTGGTGGTGCTGTTGGTGGAGGTGCTGGTGGTGGGGGTCGGTTGGTGGTTGTGGTGGTGGTGGCGGTGGTTGTTGTGGTGGCGGTGGTGTGGTAGTTTGTAATGGTGGTGATGGGTTGTGGTGGTGGTGGGTTGTGGTGGCGGCGGTGGTGGTGGAGTGGTGGTTTATGGTGGTGGTTGTGGTGTTATGGTGGTTTGTGGTGGGTGGTGGTGGTGGTGGTGGCCGTTGTGGTGGTGGTTGTGGTGTAGTGGTTTGTGGTGGTCGTGGTTGTTGTTGTGGTAGGTTGCGTTGTTGTGGTGTGGTGGTTTGTGGTGGTGATGGTGTGGCTTTCGGGTCCTGCCGCCACCGTGTCTTGGCTTTGGGTTACAGTTCTAATGGATGCGTCAGAGGGGTCTAGGGGGCGTCTGAGGGGCATGTGTGAGGTTTTGCTGGGCGCCTCTGAGGCGTCTCCTTGAACTTCCGAAGGACCCCCCGTGGCTTTTGGGGAGCGACCGCTCGATATGGCGATTTAAATTTTCCCGCTGCGGCCTGGCTCTCCCTGGTCATCGTCGCTGTTTCCCCGCCGTTGGTGCTGCCGGCCCCCGCCGGCGCAGGCGCCAACACCGGCACGGGGGGTGTTCGACCACCCACCCTCCGGAGAGCCGGAAGAGAAAATATTGGGGGAGTTGGAATATTCTATTTCTTTCCCGGGGGTAGGGAGGTTTGAACCCCCCCCTTGGGAGGGGTGGAGTTACGGGGGAGGGGGGAGTGTCCCCCTGGTTCTGATCGACGGTGCCGAATGTTGGGAACCCCCCCCTGGGTTCGAAACGCGCAGCCGAATGTTCCCAAGGCAAGCGCTCGTGAGAAGCACTCTCTCGGCCCACGAGGTGCCCGATAGGGCCCCAACGTAGCCCAGTAGAGGGCTCCACGAGAGAGAGAGAGAGAGAGAACTCGAATTGAGATTCCGAGCCATCCCGCCCAAGGAGACCCCCGAAATCGCCTTCAGGCCCCAAGAGGCCGGCCCAAAAGAGGCCCCCAAACGACCCCCAATATGCTTCAAAACTGCGGCTCCCCAGAGGCTTCCCAAGAACCCCAACAGACATCCAAGCGACCTCTGCATCACAACCCAAGCGCGGTGGCGGGATGGGCTGGATGCCAACAGGCCAGTATCGCGCTCGATGTAGATTCTCGAGTCTGGCGCCACGCGTTTCGGTGGTTCGATGCCCAAAGACCCTCCCTCGGCGCGTAAGTCCGCGTAGAGTGTTCCAAACAAGTTTTGATGTACGAAGAACTCAAAAGTCGTCTTCTCGCCCACGGCGGAGGCCAGCCGAATGCCCGCGGTATCTGGCGGATGTAAGTCGAGGGCGATCTGGCTGGCGGAAGCCAGCGGAAGCTCGCCTGAAGCCCGCGGAAACGACATTGGTTTTGTAAAAGATCTACGTTGACCACCGTGCCGTCTTCAGGCATGCAGAGCCAGCCGCATAAATGTCGCACGGTGTGCACAATACACTTGTCAAGCGTTCCAGGCCGGGTGGGGCAGCTTCATTCCCCCATGGCAGTGCCGGCGCTCCACGACGATTTAGATGCCCTCCGAGACGGCCCAGAAGGCTCAAGATGGCCTCAGAGATGCCTCCAACACAGCCAAGGAATCCCCAAGACGCCCCACGACGCTCCAAACGGCCCCCAAGAAGCCTCCCAAGAGGGCCCCAGGAGGCAAACATGGACCCATTTTCTTCGGACAACGTATCGGAGGTTGGGGGGTGAGATCGAAGTGGAACGGAGAGCCCCCCTACCGGGAAATCGATTTCGGTTTCGTTTTCGTGCCGTGCGTGAGGGCGAGGCGTTGTTGCGTGGGCGGGGGAGAGGAAATCCGTAAGGGCTTCGCCCCCTGCCGCCGGCCCCCTCTCTCGGAGAATGGGCCATGGAAGAGCTAAGTCATGAGGCTTTGGCGCTGTCGTGCAGCAGTATCGGAACTTCATGCGAGGCCGATTCGCAATCGGCAAAACCAACTGATCACAAGAGAGGTTATCACACAGGGCGATTGGTAAGACGTGTATGGTTTACGAGCTTGGTTACCACACCTTGGGATTAAAGGGCCGAGGGAGTACTCGCAGTTTGGGTTACCACGCCTTGCGATGATGTGCGTGAGGGGTGGCACCGAATTTCAGAAATGTGGCAAATCCCTTGTGTTTTTAGACCCTGACCCTGCGGGTCTGCGTGAGGGGTGACACCGAATTTCAGAAATGTCGCAAATCCTTTGTGTTTTTGGACCCTGACCCCGCGATGATGTGCGTGAGGGGTGGCACCGAATTTCAGAAATGTGGCAAATCCCGTGTGTTTTTGGACCCTGACCCCGCGGATCTGCGTGAGGAGTGGCACCGAATTTCAGAAATGTGGCAAATCCCTTTTGTTTTTGGACCCTGACCCCGCGGATCTGCGTGAGGGGTGGCACCGAATTTCAGAAATGTGGCAAATCCCATGTGTTTTTGGACCCTGACCCCGCGGATCTGCGTGAGGGGTGGCACAGAATTTCAGAAATGTTGCAAATCCCATGTGTTTTTGGACCCTGACCCCGCGGATCTGCGTGAGGGGTGTCGATTTCGAGCCCCCCCAGCAATTCAGACAACGCGCCCAGGGGGTGCTAAAAAACCGGTTTGGGCCTCTCCCCCCCTCGCGCGGTCAGTCAACTAGTTACAGTAACCAGCAATAAGTCAACTAGTTACAGTAACCAGCAAGAAGCAGAACTGAAACACTGGAAACTACAACCTACGACTGGTACAGGAAACTTCGAATCACGGGCCTACAGCCTGGTGGCCCCACAAGGGGACCGGCGGATTCTCCTGTGGCTGGGCCGCGGCTGGACCAAAAGGTTCTCCACCCGGCAACCGGTGGCGCGCGTTGTCTCGTTGGTGTCCCGCTGGTGTCCCGCTGGTGTCCCGCCGGTGTCCCGTCGTGGCTGGGCCGCGGCCGGACCAAAAGGGTTCTCCGCCCGGCAACCGGTGGCGCGCGGTGTCCCGCCGGTGTCCCGCTGGTGTCCCGCTGGTGTCCCGCCGGTGTCCCGTCGTTGTCCCGTCGTTGTCCCGTGGTGTCCCGTAGTGAGATCGATCGAGTGAGATCGATAGTGGGATCGATGGTCCCATACATCGTGAGACCGATAACGATGATGGGACCATCGATCGATGGTCCCATCATCGCCCATTGCTGGCCCCCCTCCCCCCCAACCTCCTCACCGACAGGGTTGTCGCATAGGTATGTTTATCATATTCGCATCTCGGGCTTTCACAGCGTCCAAGACGGCCCGAGAGGTTCCCAAGATCGTCCCAAGACTGCCTGAGAGGCTCCCACGAGGGCTCCAATGGCCCAAGAGGGCTCCAAGACGACCGAAGGGTCCCCAGAGCGCCTCAAGACGGGGCCCAGATCGGGTCCCCGAACGGACATTTGAAGCTCTTCGCCCCTAGAGGACCCCAGGAGTCCCAAACAGGACCCAAAAAGTTTTCCAAGAGGCCTCAAGAGGTCCCCTAAAGACCCCAAAAAGGCCTTCAGAGGCTCCCAAGAAGCTCCCAGGAAACCCGACATGGCCCCCAAGAGCCCCACCATGTGGAGCTTCCTCGGTACCCTTTTGTGGTTTGAGAGAGCCCCTGCAGGGGAAATCTGTGACACGGGCTTTGGAAGTAAGGAACCCTCAGAACCTCCCGATACCGCCCACAAGGCCCCCAAGATGCCCCCCAAGAACTCCGTAGCCATTTTGGCTCAAGCCGTTTTGGTCGGAGCATCTCCCAGGCGATCTCTTTGAAGCAGAGCCCCATACCGCTCTCTGCGTGTACTTGCCGCAATGGCCCGCTCCGCGTCCCTGCTGATCGCTTGCGCTGTCGCCGCCTTCGCCGCTCTGTCGGTGGGCTCCCTCGTGCTGTCCTTCGTCGGCGCCTCCTCCCCGGCCTCAGCGGGCCTCCGGACGGTCCAGCGCGCGCCCGCCGTGGAGATGCATTTTTTCGGCGGCCCGCCGGTGACGACCACGCCCCCGCCGCCCGTGGGCCTGGGGGGCGTGGGCGGGAACAACTACGTGATCTCGATCACCATCCTCTTCTTCGGTTCGGTGCTCGCGAACGCCAACGGCTTCTTCGGACCGTGGTGATATCCCGAGCGCTCTCCGGGCCAGTAGGTGGGCCTGCTGAGGTGGCTTCTCGGCAGCGCTACGTTTTGCTGTGTTGCGTGCCATTTGCAGGCGCCGCTTCTGCAGCCAGGGAACATTAAGATTTTCTTCGGTGCGTTAGTTGTTGAAAACAAAGGTGTCCCCCAAGAACTGAACGCGCCAGCTTGTCAAGGGCTCGGGAGTGCCAGAACCTGAGCGTGCGCGAAGCGCGCGTGGTTCTAGTATCTGTATTTACATGCGTGCATTTATATGTATGTATATGCATATACGTGTACGTATGCATCTTAATCAATATGGATATATGCATCTACGTGTATGGATGCATGCATGCATGCATACATCCATATACGTAGATACATGCATATTTGTATGTAAATGCATAAATATATATACACGCATGCATCTATATGTATGTACCTTCATGGTTTTACGGTATGTATATATATATATATATATATATATATTATGGTACCTCTATATATAATCCTAATTACATGTACATATATGTATATATATATGATATTATGTATATCCGTAGCCATTCAGGTTCAATGCTATGAACCGCCCGACGACCGCGAGTCGGCTTCGGTCGGCGACTTCTGAGCGCGAGGGGGTTCGCGCTTTGAAGCCAAAACTACTGACAACAATTGTGTTCCGTGCTGCCCTGCTGGGCTCCAGCCCTCGGCGCCTGCCTTCCAGACACGTTCCCCTCTAGACATACTCCTGCGGGGGGAGTGCCTGATGGAGCTGTCGGTTCTCGCTTGCGACGACGTGGCAAGACGGGAAACTCTGGCACGGGCGGCAGGCGGAGAACGGGCTCGCCCTCGCCGCAGGGCGAAGCCCACCGCAGCAGGAACCAAGGGCCTGCTGGCTCGGGCGCTCGTGCTGGTTTTCCAGCTTCTGCGGACCTGGAGGCCGAGGGCCCTACGCAAGCGGATGGTGGCGACCCTTGGGCTGCGCGCGGACGTGCTGGTCGGTGGTCGGAGGAGCGCGACGAGCCGCCGCCCATCTCCATCGCTTCGCCGCGAGATGAGCGGAAACCCAGGGATGCATTCGTGTTGCGAGGCGAGCTCGACGACATCTTGGCAGAGCTGCGCTCGAGCATCACGTCCTCGGTCACAACGTCGGTCCAGGAGTCCGCGGCGCGCATGGAGCGCAGCATCTTTGAGAGCACCACAAAGGTCGTCCGCTCGTTCGCCCAGCGCCAGGTGGCCTTCCACGAGGAGATGGGGCTGCGTGTCAAGGACCTTGACGCGCGCCAGGACGCGTTGGAGAGGTCGCATCGTGCGATGCGTTCGCAGATCGGCGAGATGCAGGCCATCGTGCACCAGTGCGAGCAGGCAGCCCCGGTGCCGTGGACGTGTCCGACATGGCCAGCTTCGCGCGCGACCCGAACCCACGATCTTCGTTGCCACTACGAAGGAGCCTGTCGCGCTGGCGGCCGTCAAGGAGAGTCTCGTGCCGCGGCTCGAGGCTGGCGACTTCGCGGAGGAGAAGTGGGAGCTTACGGGCGAGAGCCCAGGGCGGCGTTTCGTGCTCCAGTTCAAGGGCTCGGAGGGCATCGCGGCGCGGCATGTGCAGCACGCCTTCAAGCAGCTCAAGCTCCCGTCAGGTGAATTGCGGCGATTTGTGGCCGCGACGCCTGCGGGGGGGCGCGCCGCCGTCTTCGTGGGCACCGACAGGAGCCCCCAGATGGTGCGGCGCGAGATCGAGACGAAGAGGCTCCTCGAGGTGGTCAAGGCGACGGGATGCCACGGCAGGTGGAGGGCGCATCGCGCCCAGGGCGTCATCTACATGGGCTCCTCCCCCGTCATCGGGGTCCTCGTGCCCAGCAGCTCGTCCGAGCCCTCGACGCCGGAGTGGAACTTCCGCATGGTCGCGGACATCGGCCTCGACAAGGCGAAGATCCAGGAGGCATTCGAGGAGCGCTTTGGCGCGGCGGGCCGCGCCCAGTGGTCTGTTTAGCGCTCGTCTGGCTTGCTGGTGGTCTCGCGGCCTCGACGCGAGCGCGCCCGTGGCGTTCGGCACGTGGACTGCGCGTGCTCTCCTTCGCCACGATCGCAGCGCTGGAGGGGTGCGCGAACACGAGCTCAGTTATCTTGCGTCGCACCTGCGGCGCGGGGTGGCGATGGCAGCGCAGGAGGCCCATGCCACTCGCGCCGAGCTGCATCAATATCTTCATCGTTTGCATGTCCGCCGCCGAGTCCTCGAGTCGATTCCGCGTGTCGACGCGGGAGGCGCGTGCATCATCGCGCCTTGTGACGACCGTGCCGGGCAGCGTGCGGGGTTCGTCCCCGACGTCATTGTGCTTGGCCGCATCCAGGGGCTGAGGATCTCTGGCATCTCGGCTGACCCGAATTCACCCCCATGCAGTGCGATTATTTATAACGTGCACAATTTTGACCTGTCTGATGGGGAGCGGCTCGCGTGTCGCCACAAGCTTTTCTCGGACCGAACGATGGCGGATGTGGCCCCTGAGAGGGTCACGGTTTTCCTTCTTGGCGACTTCAATTTCTACAAGCAGGCCCCCGTGTACCCGAGGGCCCCTGAAGTGGACAAGCGTCGCAGTCAAGGCGACGTTGTTGCGGGTGCTCATGATGATCAGTTCTGGCAGAGCGTCTTCTCGAGGATGATGGAGGTCGACAGCGAGTTGCCCACGCACTGCGCTGCGAAAAGGTGGCAGCCCAAGCTCACGCAGATCGACAGGGTCTTCGTCTCTATGCCGAGCTGGGTGGCGCTGCAGCATCACTTCGCTGCCGCGACAGCGGACAGGCCCGAGGACTTGCGCGAGAAGGGGATCAGCGACCGCGCCCCCGTCGTTATCTCGGTCGTCGCGCGCTCTCACGCCACAGCCGAGGAGCAACAGATCCCCGTCCACTTCGTCAGGGATCCCGAGTGCAAGGCCCAGTATCAGCGCCTCTGTGCACTTGTCGACTGGCAAGCTCTCGGTGTGCATGCGCGGCGTCGCCGGCACAAGCAGCCGATGAAGGGGGCGGCGCGGTGCGTCCGCAACCTGCGGCTGCGCCGGCCTGAGGGCGAGACCAAGCTGATGATGTTCCGCTCGCTCTCTCGCGCGGTCTGGCGTGATGATGCGGCATTGGCGCGCGGGCTGCTGCTGTCCTGCGACTTGGCTTCTCAGTGCATCTCTGTCTCGGGCGCGCAGGTTTCGCTCGTGCACCCCCCGCCCTTCGCCCGCGACTTCGCCCGGGAGCAGCAGCTGCACTTCGAGGCTCGCGCTGCTGACCTGGAGCTGCGCGAGGCCAAGGCGTTCGACCCCGCTTCGTTCAAGATGATCAACTCGGCGCGCCGCAAGTTGCGGAGGCGCCGGGCTCTTTGGTCTCCTTTCGGTCGCACGCTCAGGTTGCAGCAGGGTGTCAGGGTGCCTGATGACGAGGGCTACCGTGTCGCAACCGAGCACGAGGGCATGGTGGAGGCTCTGCGTGCGCACTGGGCGCCGATCCCCCAGGCCAAGCCACGGGTTGCCAACTGGAAGCTCCTCGCCGACAGATATATCGCCGAGCGCGCGCCGAAGCTGGACCTCGTCGGCACCCCCCCCCCCGACAAGTCGGCTCTGGCGCGCGCGGCGGCGCTGGCCAGGGATTCAGCCCCTGGGCCCGATGGCCTCCCGTATGCCGCTTGGAGGAGCTGCCCCGAGGCCCTGGGCGCGATCGAGGACGTCGTCATAGAGGTCGCCATGGGGCTGGCCCCGCCTGTCGACTGGAACGAACACCTGATGGCCTTCCTCCCCAAGGGCTCTCTGGAGGACGACCTGGTGGGTGGCGCGCGCCGCGCCGCCAGCGCCGCGCGTGCAATCGCGCTCGAGAACGCAGGCTGCAAGCTGGTGGCAGCAGCTATGAATGCACGTCTGAAGGGCCCTGTGGAGAAGGCCCCCCCCTGTCCCCGAGCGGGGCTTTCTGCGAGGTCGCAACTTCATCGACGACATCGCCCTCCTGGACACGAAGGCCCGCGCTGCGGGCTTCCACCCGAGCGAGCGGCCCCTGATGATGCTCTTCGACTTCGGCGACGCCTTCCCCTCGTTGAGGGTGGAGCGGGCCGTTGCCGTGATCGTCTTCTTTGGTTTCGAGGGCGGGCTGCTCTGCACAGTGCTCGCGCTCTACTGGCTCCCCGCAGCCATTGTGGAGTTGGCGGGCGCACTGGTGCATTTCGCATGCGTCGCCTGCGGGCTCGCGCAGGGCTGCCCCGCGTCGGGCTCGCTGTGGGCCATCGTGATGAACCCGTTCATCCGCCGCGTGATGAGGTACACCGAGCGCGGACTATCGGCGTTTGGAGTGTGTGCTGATGATGTGGGAGCTGTTCTCGGACGGCGGCAACTGCCGGCAGGGCTCTGGCGGGCCTTCTGGGCGGTGCGGGTGCTGGCGGGTCTCCACTTGAAGCATCGCAAGTGCGTGCTGATCCCGCTCGATGGCGAGCTCGACGACGCGGCGATCGCTGACCTCAGGGGCTGGCTGCATCGCCGCATCCCGTCCTGGTCATCCATGCTGATCCAGGACAAAGGCGAGCACCTCGGCTTCGTGGTCGGCCCCGGCGCGACGGAGCGAGACATCTGGATGAAGGTTGGCGCGAAGTGGGTCTCGCGTGTCGTGGGCCTCGCGCTGAGCGGATCGCCTCCCTCGATCGCGGCTCGGCTCTACAACCGGCGCGCGCCCCCCGTCCTCGGCCACCTGCAGCAGCTCGCGATGACGCCGAGGATGCTGCTCACCAAGGAGGCGTGGGCGATCGCCAAGATCTGGCACGTCCCGCCGCAGTCCATGGCAGGGGGCGACTCCCTTGCCATTGCCGCGCGGGCGCCTGGCCTGCGCGTCCGCTCGATGGGCGGCGGGCCTCGCGGCCATGACGTGCGCCGCCCACGCGACCGTCTCCCACTGGGGGCAGCTCTTCGCCTGGCTCCGCGAGCAGCTCGACAACGCCTCGCTGCTCGCCGTCGGCCTCGGGCAGTTCTCCCCGACTTCTTGGTTGGCGAGGCCCGCCGTGATGGGGCTGGCCGAGGCGCGCGAGGGCTTCGTGAGCGATCGAGCGCTCGCTCGCCATGCTGGCGCCGCCTGGGCCGCCCTTCGGCAGGCCGAGGCGCAGGCGACGGCGTCGGGCGGGCGAGTGCGTGTCCAGAAAACCTTGTACGCTGCCTTGCACTCCTCCCTCCATCCTGACTCCCTCCACCTTCTGATCCTGCGTGAGATGAGGGCCTGTGAGCTCGAGGTCGGTCGTGGCGCCCGGTTGGGTGGTGCCGCTGCCCGCGCTCGATGGCCCCCCTCTGCGCGAGCTCCTATAGCGGGCGGCCCCATTCGTGGCAGAGCGCCGCCCTGAAGACAATTTCAGGCGCATGGCTGACCTCGGCGCGGCTGCGTGTGCAGGACGGCGTGCATCCATGTGAATTTCGGCGTCGCGAGCCCCCACTCGCCCCTGCTCTCGATGCCTTCTCTCACTACCTCCAGTGTGATGTTCTCTGGGGTTCGCCTGCCCCCGGGGCTCTCCTCCGCCATATTGCCTCAGAACTCGCACGGGCCTCAATGGGGCCCCGTTCGATGCAGAGCGTCGAGGCGATTGTGCTGGCTTGTCATATCTATAGCACTGCTCGTGTTCTCGCTCCGCCGCCCACTGATGAGGGGTGGGGCGGCCATCTTTACGAAATTCGGCGTGCTGCTGATGCTCCCGTCGACCTCACAAGGGCTCGGGGGCCCCCGTTGGTCTCTGCGGCGCCCGTGTGGAACCCCCAGGAGTACGAGCGATAAATTATTATGTATATATATGTAGACCCATGTATTTTCATACGTAGGTATATGAATTTATGTGCGTATGACTATCCGTATATCTATATATATTCATATACATATGTATCTATGTATATATACATATATACATATATACACATGTGTATATTGTTCGACTTCTCGCTGGAAGCTTCGACGCGACTTGCTCGACCCTGCAGCGTGCTCCGGCAGGCGCTTTCTCAGCGTTTGCCCAGAGGCCCTCCAGAAGGTCCTTTGAAAAATCTTTCCAGGGTTTTCCAGAGCCCCCTACCTAGGCTCTGCCCAGAAGGGTTCTTACTCTCTTTGCTTAAATGGCCGGGCAGTGGGAACCAGCCCGGTCGCGTCCCCCAGTATCCGCCACGCGGTTCCCTCAGTCACGTCCCCTTAGCTTAGCGTTGCTTATCTCATCTTAGCTTAGCCTAGCTTAGCTTAGCCTAGTTTAGCTTAACTTAGCCTAGCCGGGCTTAGCTTAGCTTAGCTTAGCTTAGCTTAGCTTAGCTTTGCGTAGCCTGGTTTAGCCCAGCTTAGCTCAGCCCAGCGAAGCTTAGCTCAGCTTAGCGCAGCATTATCATCGCATATCGCAACAAAGCATACCATAGCATACCATAACATAGCGCAGCATAGCATAGAGCCGCATTTCGTAACATCGCATGCCATAGTTTAGCATTGCATATCATAACGCAACATAGCATAGCATAACACAACATAGCTTATCTTAGCATAGCACAACGCAGCATAGCACAGCATAGCCTGGCATAGCATAGCATCGCGCAGCATATCATAGCATAACATAGCATAGCGCAACCTAGCATAGCATAGTATAGTGCATCATAGCATAGCACAGCATAGCATAGCATATCTTAGCGCGGTATATCATATCGTAGCCTAGCCTAGGATAGCACAACATAGCGCAGTATACCACATAACAGCATATCATAATTCATAACAACAAAGCATAGCATAGCATAGCGCAGCATATCATAGCATAGCATAGCCTAACATAACACATCGCAGCCGAGCGTGCCCTAGCACAGCATAGCGTAGCATAGCGCTGCAAAGCGCAGCGTAGCAAATCATATCATATCAGAACATAGCGCAGCATCGCATAGCATAACATAGCGCAGCATATCATGAGGAGTTGCTGCTGCTGTACAATGTCGTAGGAACGTTCGGTGTAGCAAGTGTTGCACAGCCTTGCTCAATGCCAAGCCGTGCGGTGTAGACCGGATACGGAGCATTCTCAAGCACAGCCGGTGAGCGAATGCGAAAACATGCGTGTGTGTGTCTGTGCGCAGACAACAAAAACAAACCCAAACAACAACAACAACAACAACAACAACAAATGCACAGCGACCGCAACATCAAAAGCAAACGCAACGGCAAAGGCAAGGCAATGCAAAGCAACATCAAAACAATGCGAAACTGTATATGTATATGTAGATTTAGGTGTAGGTGTAGATGTGGATGTAGGTGTATATGTAGATGTAGATGTAGGTGTATTTGTAAGTGTAGATGTAGATGTGAGTCTCGCTGTTGATGTTGATGTAGATGTAGCTGCAGGTGTAGATGTTAATGTAGGTGTCGGTGTAGATGTAGATGTTGGTTCCCTAGACGCTCCAAGGGTCGCACTGGGATGCTTCCCTTCTGGCGCTTTGCTATCCCGCTTTTGGATCCCACAAGATCTTCGTGGCCTCGGCCCTCAAGTTAATTTCGGGACGTTCGAAAGGTGTGCGGAACGAGTGGGTATGATGCCCCAGAGCCGTCTCTTTACATTTTGAGCAGGACTCGCGGTCCGCGCCGCCGCCTGCCCAACAGCGGCCACGGTCGGTTTTGGACAACATTAGTTGGTGGGCATTGTGCCCATCTTTCCTGCACCCATCCCAGGCGTCCATAATACGGGCCGTCTTCACCGACATCGGCGCGCAAATTGCCCACGTATGCTCGCGCGTCAGCGCCGTCGTTCCCAATGTAGCGTGCCGCGCTAGCGGCACGCACAAGAGGCCCCAGAAGGTCGCCACGCCATTTCGCGTGAGCTGAAAAAGACCCGCTTCTCGTCGTCGCCCGGCTGGCCGCAGGCCGAGAAGCAACCAGCAGCTCCTGCAGGCCAGTAAAGGCAGGTTGTTTTTCCTCTGACACCGACCTAAGCGTTGTATGCGGATGTTCGGGGGTGGACAGTTGCCCCACCCTGACACGTCGATACGTGAATGGTCCGTTGTCGGTTCTCGAGAGGGCGCCGCGGCCCGTATTCTCCAGGGTTGCGCCCGCCAGGTTTGGGCCCGAGGTCGTTGTCACTGAACCACGTTTTGGTCAAGAGGGCTCTGTCCATCCCCAAAACACTTTACATCCCCCCCCCGCCCTCCCGCATTCGCTCGCCCATGCCCTCCGCCCGCCCCGCCGCCCGCCCCGCCCGCTCGCCCCCCCTCCCCATCGCCCCCCCGGGTCGGGCGCGCCCAGTCCCTCCCCTCTCCTCCTCCTCCTCCTCCTCCTCCTTCTCGTCCTTCGTCCTCCTCCTCCTCCTCTTGCTCTTGCTTCTCCTCCTCCTCCTCCTCGTCCTCTTCCTCCTCCTCCTCTGCTCCCCGATCGGGGCCAGGGCTTGGATTCGGCGGCAAGCGAGGGGGGGACGTGAGAGGGAGAGGGCTCTTTCGGCAGGCGGCGTGGCTTCTCAAAAGGCCGCCGTCCTTCTGAGAGGTTTTCCGTGTCTTCGTAGAAGGCGTCGAACATTTCTCAGAAGGCCGGGGGGATTTCCAAGCATTTTGAGAAGGCCCGCCCCTTCTCGCTTCCCCCCTGGGCTCGCCCCCGATTGATGCGTCGTGCCAGAGCGTGCCAGAACGCCCTCAGAGCCTTCTTGAGCGCTCCGGAACGGCCGCGGCGGCCCCTGCCCCTACATCACCCAGACCCGCCAGATCTCAGAGATCCCGACTTGCCCTGGGTCGATTCTGTCCGTATCTTGTCCTAGATTCCCCCCTGCTCATCTGCTCGGACTCTTTCTAGGCCTCCTAGATGAGGTCGGAGTAGATGGGGTCGAAGGATCGCGCCGCATCGCCGATGCACTGGCGATGCATCAGCGATGCGGCTCGATGTGGGGCCCAATCTTTTCCACGCCGACGTCGCCGATGCATCGCCGACGTCGCCAGTGCATGGCCGATGCATCGCCGATGCGGCGAGATCCTCCGACCCCATTTGCTTGGACCCCGTCTGGAAGGCCTCTTCCCTTGGCCGAGGTCTCACGGGGCCCACCGGAGCCGCGGCGACCACTCCGTGTTGAAGAAGCTGACCGAGTGGTTCGAGCTCACGCTCCTCGCCAGAGCGGAGGAGGGCACGCAGAGGACCTCGCATGCCGCGCGCGCGACAAGATATGCCGTACGTTGGGGCACCCGTCGTGCTGCGGGGGGAGTCTGCCAGAGACATTGCAGCGCGGAAGTGGGAAGGGGCGGGCTTTCCGGAAGGCTCGGAAGTCCCCCGGCCCTCAGAAGTCTCTTCAGGCCTTCCCCGATGACACGAAGACTTCTCAGAAGGCGCGAGGGCTTCTGAGAAGCCCCGCGGCCCTCGCAGGAGGCTTCTCCTTCTCATGTCCCCCCCTCGCTCGCCGCCAATTATTCCCTGCACCGTTGGGCTTCCTGCTTCGGGGTCTCCAGGCCACGCTGCCAGCTCGTGGTATATTCCCCTACTATCCAGGGGAGGGCATCTGGTCTCAACCAGCGACGGCAAGCCGTGAGTGCCACTCGCTACCACGATCGACGTGGCGCGGAGCAGCGGGAGAGAACCGCCACGGCAACCCAGGATGTCTCCTCGCCCTCCTGCTTTCCCTGCCGCCTGGCGCCACGCAGCGCGCTCACGGCTGCCCCCAGCAGAGGCCCACCAGTACGGCCTGGCGTTCTTGCGCTTCCACTCGACGGCGATGTGCCGACGGAGACGCGCCTGGACGCGCGCCAGCACCATGACGATGGCGATGGGTCGCACGCCGCCTAACCGCTTCTCAAGAAAGCCGATCTTGGTGGACAGCTCGAGCCACCGCGCGTCGCGTTCCACGGACGCCAGCACGTCGATGAACACCTCCAGCGCAGCGTCGCATAACTCGTCGAGCTGCCACGGCCTGACCGCGCAGAAGGAGACGCCGGAACCTTTCTTGAAGGTCCTGGGCACACGGCGAAGCTCGCCCACGGTGGGCCGAGGCGGCCGCTTACCGAGGTCTGCCGGCCACCGCGGCGTCGCCTGCTCGCAGGAGGTCCTCCACCAGTGGCCCTGCTCCTGCTCCAGCGCGCAGACCTCCTGGCCCGCGTCAGCAGGTGCGAACGGCCTGAGAGATGATGTGACCTCCTGGTCCTCCACCTTCTCCTCGACGGCGGGGCTCTCGTGCAGGCCCAGCGGAACCTTGGCGACAGCATGAAGACCACCCCCGCCACCGCCGGCCTGCCTGGCCACCCGGTCGGCGAAGCGCTTGGCCCGCTCGTCCATATCCTTGGTGGCGAGCCGCTGCGACTTCGCGTGGGCGGTCTTGGCCATGGCGCTCAACTGGTCGGTGGCCATCCGATGCAGCGGCAGGGCACTCAGAGCTTGCAGCCACATGCTGGCATCGGACGCCGCGCAAGGGGACGTCGCGCGACCGACGACAGGCGCAACGCGCACCGCGTCTCCCGTGGCAGCTTCCGTAACCAAAGTGGGCGCCTTCCCGAGCAGCCTGCGAACGCCTGGCAGGGCATGGCGACGCCGAAGGGCATCGTGACCGCGCGCTCCAGCGAGCGCATCTCCGACGCGATGCGGCCAGGTCGCCTCCATGGACTCGCGTGGCCAGCGGGGAGACGGCGCACCCGGCGCTCCACAGGGTGAAATCCGCGTCCGCTGTGCTTCGCCCTGTCCTCCTCGACCTGGTGCACGTCGATCCACTCCTCCTCAGCCTGGCCCAGGAAGCGCTGCCGAGCAGTTGTAGGGAGGCGCTCGAACAACTAGCCGCACCTGAGCACTCGCCCTGCACGGAAGGGCACGCCTCGCCCTCGCCGAACGCGGCGACAAGCTCGCCGGCGAGGTCGCCGAGGCCGCCGGGCTCGCCGCCGAGGCCGCCAGGGGGGCCGCTGGGCGGCCCAGGAACCAGAGGTACAGAAGAATAGCTACGTACCTTTGGATTTGGCGCGCCGAGCGGGCCGCCGGGGGCCGCCCGGCGAGCCGCCGGGGCCGCCGGCGGGCTGCCCGAGGCCGCAATGGAGGCCGCCCGGGCCGCCAGGCGCGTCTCCTGGGGGCCAGCTGCAGTAACGACGCCGCGAACGCCGGCCAGGGCGCCGAGGCCGTCGGGTCTGCCGCCGAGGATCGCCGAGGCCCGATCCTCTCGAAACTCGGACGACGCCTTCGAGGCCGCGGGGCTCGAAGAGCTTCCCGCGGCCGCGCCTGACCTGCTCGAGCCGCCCACGCCCTGGAGTTGCTGCACCTCGCCAGCGGCCACCTCCCATGCTGCCGCAAAATCCTTGGCCCAGAACCCGTGAGTCCTCTCGACTGGGAACGGCTTCGGCAGCTCCAGGATGCGAATCCAAAGCCGGGCTTTATCCGCCTCGATGGTCAGCACACTTGGCCGATGCGGATGCACGGGCAACCCGCGCGCCACCTCGACGCCCGTCACGCGCAGGGAGTGCGCCAACATAACCATGTCGATGGAGCGCCCTGACTGCACGCATGTCGGCTGCAGCGCGTCGACGCACACCGCATCGAACCACTTTAGGATGCCGAACTCCGCCAGCTCGGCCTTGGTCACATTGAAGTCGCCGCCCACGACGTACGGCAGGCCGAACTCGCGCAGCCTGGACGCGAGGTCGCGCAGGGCCTCGTAGTGCGCCTGGTTCACCCCGACTCCCGACTTCAGGTAAACGTTGACGAGCACAACGCCACGCCGCACGATGCCTGAGTGGTGCATCATCAGGATCCGCCGCTCGCGCAGCACAGCGGGCCGCCCGCCCAGCATGGGCACGAGGCCGTCCTCGGCGCGTTCCATGGGGACGAGGCCCCCAGCAGCCAAGCCGCCTGCCTGCGACGGCTCCGCGGCGGCCGCCTTGGCCTTCCAACCGCACTTGCCCATGTCGCTCTCAGCGTCGGGCGACCTGGCCGCGCGCAATCGCGTCTCCTGCAACAACGCCACGTCGCAGCATATCACCTCGTCGATCAAGCCTTTGTCGATGTTGCTGATCGTGTTGATGTTCAGCGTGCAGATCCTCCACGCCCTCGCAGGGTTAACCCGCCGCCGCTTGGCCGCCACCGCGTCCGAGTGCTTGGCCAGCAGCGAGCGCAGAAGTCGTCGTTGAACGACTTCCATAACTCAGACTCGTATTGCAGCAGAGAGTCGACCTCCATGCCGTCAGCGCCCTGCGCGCCGCCAGCAGCAGTGGCCTCAGCACCGGCGCCGCGATGGCCTGCGGGAGCGCCCGCTCCAGGTGCCGCCGCCGCCGGAGGAGCGGCCGCAGGCCGCTTCGCAGCCGCCGCGTCCGCGGCGATCTTGCTCAGGAGCTGCTGTAGCGGCGCCGCAGCCCCCCCGAGGTCCGCCCCGTGCAGCTCCGAAGCAACAGAGTTCGTGAGCGTGACGTAATTATTTCGCCAGGCTGCCGACCGGCGAGGGCGGTGGAGGCTTCGGTTCCTCGGCCTCCTCAGCCTCCTCAGCAGCAAGCGCCGCCTTGGCCTTGGCGACAGCCTCGTCGAACTCCATGCGGAGCTTGCGCACGCGCTGCTGCTGCTCACCAACCGCCAGCAGCGCCTGCTCGGCGGCCGCGCGGCGTTTGAACAGCAGGTCCGTAGCCTTGTCCAGCTGCGCGGCCCTCTCGTCGGCGTGCACCTTGACAGCCTTGACCACCTTCACCGTCGACAGCTGGCCCAGGGCGCTCTTCGCCAGGAAACGCTGCTGGCGGAGCGCCTGCCGATCGGACGGGTCCAGCAACGCGGCAACGCTGTCGAACATGCCGTCCTCCATGGCCAGGTCGTGCAACCGCTGCTCGTCGCCCAGCTTGGGTTTGGGCTGCGTCTGCCCGGCGG